AAGCCTTGTAAGCAGGCAGCTACCTTACAAAAGATAACAGGAAAGCACAAGGCAAGTTAGGAGCCATCAGAGCCATTTCACAATTACCTGTTAGTGCCTTCCCATATTTTGGCTGACATTGCAGAACACAAAAGAATATACATAACAATTTCAGCTGTTGCTTGTGTAGATTTTGGTAGCCTGCAAATGCACGCGGACATACAAGTATGTGGTTTTACACCACCTTCCACTCCTTCCACTGGTATGGTCTGGCCCACGCTAGTAAGGAACTGAAGCAACCTCACAGAAAGCTGACCAGATCTGATCTGTCGGTAGACTAATTCAACATATAACAGAGTGCTCCAGTTCCTTGGACCAGCTTACTGCACAATCATACCATGCAAGAGAAGAGGCCAGAACTGGGGGAAGCATGCTGCTGCTTCAAAGCATGCTGAGATCACTGGCTGCTGGGGAATGTCATGTTAGGAGCCATTTGTTAAATGGTGGTGCAGGGAAGGAATAGTCACCATTTCAGCCCATGTAACACAGCTCAGGGAAACAGTACCACACATACAATAGGGAAACAGCCAGCGATTTAAGAAAATGAAACTAACACCCACGGAGTGGCTCAGCAGATAACTGGCCTGTGCTAATCAAAGGAGCACAGCTGCTCTTTACACGACTGCTAAGATTATGTAGGTACAGGCTTATGCCTACAGAGATTCCCTCAGTGAGCTCGGCAGAGTGCACAACTGAGCAAGGCTGGTCTAAGTCCCAGTTTGAACATCAGTTCTGCTGGCTGATAAACCAAGAGCTATGCAGAAATTATCTATGCCAACCTGCCTACTCCTCCGAAACAGGAGGTCCTGCTGTCTCTGGACTGGTTGCTATTATCATTACAGCACTTGCAAGACTCGTCACCAGGGAAAAGGATCATTTGCAGTCCACTCAACTTTCCCTATTCAGCAACTGAGAATTTAAGTAAATGCCAGGGAACGTGTCTTCCTGTGGGCCAGTGAGCAGGCAGAAAAACATGAAGAATAGAATGCAGTGATCACTGTATATCTATTTGTGGGTGTTTTTCATTGGCATTTGACATTTCATTTTCATTTCCTTGCTTTAAAGAGAAGCCTCAGGAAGCACAAACCTAGAAGGAAGGAGGGTAACATGCAGGGAGTTTTGAGAAAGAACTGAAGGGATGATGATGGGGAAACAGAGGAAATGATGAGCGAGATAGCCTGACAGTCACATCAGCATCAGGAAAATACAGGCCTATGTGACTAGCAAAACTCAGGAGGCTATTTCCAGAGTAGACACAGAAGTTATTTGCCTCTGAAAAGAAAAAGCTCTGTGTGAGCTCCACTTCTGAAAAATAGCAGATGCTGGAACAGATAAATATCAGCAAGTATCAGTAGGGCAGCAAGGAGAAACAACATAAGGAATGGGTGAGTAGTAACTTAGGGGACAGAGTAAAGAAAAGAGCTGATTTTTTTTGTTGTTTTAAGGGAATTAGAAGTTTTATAAAAGATCATGCAAATGCTTCTTTTCACTAATGAGAAGAAATCAAGGAGCTGGCTGGATTATTTCAAGTGTTGGTGAAAAATATGATAGGAGGAATTATTAAGGTAATTAATACAGTGAGGTAATAATCATGGAATATAGGTGTCAAAAGACAGAGTAAAGGTTGAAATGGCAGAATAATATTGTACATATGATTTGACAAATATAAAAAATTAGAGGAAATAGGAGAAATCAAAATAACTCTGGAAGCTCTTATAACTGGAAACTTGAATGCTGCTGACAGTCTGACCTACAGGTCACACTGGATATGAACAGTGATCTCTAATTTCAGTAAGCAAAGAAAATGAAGAAGGAATGGCATCTTTATAGGAATTACTAACCCAGTTATTCTGAGGGACTGCTTTCCAGGATGGTGATGAGCGCTTGCAGAGACAGCATTCACCGTGCCAGCAATGGAGGACGAAGCTGGTGGGCCTTTCCTTTGCAGTGACTTCCAAAAACTCCTGAAAAAAAAGCCACGAGCCAGAACCACGGAGACGCAGTGGGGACATCAGGCAATGTCCCACAGGGCTTTCACATATCGTACCTTTTTTTTTGGGGCAGGTGGCTCTGAAAACGCCAGGAGCCCCTGGGCTCCAGCCTCCTGTTGGAAGCAGCACAATGCTTCTCTTCTTCTCCCAGGTAACGGGCGATAGGACATGAGGAAATGGCCTCAAGTTGCCCCAGGGGAAGTTTAGGTTGGATATCAGGAAAAATTTCTTCACCAAAAGGGTTGTCAAGCACTGGAATGGGCTGCCCAGGGAAGTGGTTGGGTCCCCATCCCTGGAGGTATTTAAAAGACAGGTAGACGAGGCGCTTAGGGACATGATTTAGTGGTGGGATGGCAGGGTTAGGTTAATGGCTGGACTTGATGATCTTAAAGGTCTTTTCCAACCTAAATGATTCTATGATTAGAGAACAAATCTTATGAGTTGCAGTGGGGGACAGGATTTCAGTGGTGAGTTTCCACACCAGTCACTGATAAACAAGATAGTATTTTTGATGCAGTTTTGCTGAATAATGAGACTACAGGGAAAGACCTGATGTACAATAAGAATTTTTATTTTAATAAACAATGAAGTCATTCTAGAAGAGGTGATTCTATGCTGGAGAACCACATCAACAAACTTCATGCTTAAATGTCTGCAAATGGCATCTGAAGGGAAAAAACTTGGGGAGAAGAGATGGTGCTAGTGGCCAAATAGGCAAGATGTACCAAACCAAAACAGCAGATCTGGTTAATGGAAATAGCTAACACCAAAAAAAAATAAAAACCCCAACCCAAGCCCTTGTGAAAACAAGGGATAAACAGCATGGTCAAAGCACAGAGAGAGTAGAGCAGCTAAAGAGGAGTCTGCCTCACAAGACTGATAGGATTGAAGCTGACAAGTGGTAATGATAGATGAGAAAACACAGCTATCCGGGTGTACCAGCAATGATCTGGTGAATATGAGGACACACTGCATGCACCGCCTGCCAGCCAGCAGCCTCGAACATGGGGTAGGTAACCTGGAACACCAAGTAAGTCCTCCTAAGTGGCAGCAGAGCTGTGGCCCTATAAGCTGGGATGAAGCTGGGGAAACTCAACAGCCCCCCTGGGGCAACAGCTCAGTTTGGACATTGCTTGGATTCCTGCAGATGAGAAGTAACCGGCTGCCTCAGCAAGCACACACAGCTATAGGGGGAAAACTTTAATGATCTCCAGAGAAGCAGGCTATGTCTCTGTAAACAAAGGCACCCGCCAGAGAAAGCGGTCACTCTCCCCCAAGCAAAAGGGTGCAGCAATCGTTTGCATCCACCATGCTCAGGGCCAGCAGCACCTAAAGCATATGCTGCACTTCATGGCACTTGGTGTTCTCCAAGTCCCACATGCTGAATGAAAGACATTATTATTCTAATTTTTCACACCAGAGTGCTTAAAATAATGTCAGACCTGCACCATAGCCTAGCAAGGTAATATTTTTATTGCATCACATCAAGCATTACTTTGTATCACTTGGCCTTGACATTCTATGTGCTGAGGATGAATTCCTGAAGAGTGCAGCAATTAGGGATGCAGCAGGTAGTGATACATTTTCTCCAAAAAGAATTTGTGCAATCGCAGATGGGTGCATGCCGGGACTTAAGAAGTACCACAGCTAAAGGACATGGGGAAGCATATAAGGATAGAAAGCAATAGCAGTATGATCAGCATCAACAACTGGAAGAGATGCTGGCTTTTCCACAGCTGGCTTTGTAGTGGCTGGAGATGCTGTTTGCTTTCTAAAACTCTCAGTACCCTGGTGCCCTCACCCAGTTGTTCTCAGAACAGATATGATTCTGAAGGACTGTGGTAGCTTGACCTTGGCTGGCTGCCAGATGCCCACCCAGCCACCCTCTCACTCCCCCTCCTCAGCAGGATAGGGGAGAAAATAAGATGCTAAAGCTGCTGGTCAAGAATAAGACAGGGAGATAACTGACCATTATGGGCAAAACAGACCTGACTTCATTCAATTAACTGTGAATTAAAATAGAGTTGGATGGTGAGAAACAAGGAAAAAACTAAAACAACTTCCCCTCACCTACTCCATTTCCCACACTCAACTTCATTCCTTCTTTCCCAACACTTTCACCTCCTCCTTCTGCCACCCCAAGTGGCTCAGGAATGGGGAACTGTGGTCAGTTTGTAACAGTTTGCTCAGTCCGTCTTCTTCATCTGTGGGATTGGACACACAACTGCTAGTGTGAGCACTCCTGCTGCCACCCTTCTAAACAAATGTGTTTTAATGGTTGACATATCTTCCTCAGATGCCTGCTGCTTATTATGGTCATTCAAGGCAGTCAAAGGCCAAGGATGAAAAAACAAGGTCAGTGAAGTACGGTATGGTAAGGTCTGTGTCGGTACTGTGAAACATCGGAAGTAGAAGCAGTCGATAGCAGGGTATTACAAAATAAAGCTTGTTCCCCGGGCGCTGGAGGACAGTACAGTGCAATATGAGCACACTGCCTAAGGGCAAACATTTCTGGAGTAAACTAACCACACAACTATACCCAAGCTACACTTTAAATCAAACTAGTTGTTCGCACCAAAGAAGGAGACAAGGAATAATCTAATGTATTTGCAGTGGGGGAAATCAAGCAACCAAGATGAAGAGCAAGTCAGTAAGCCTGATTATTCGAAAGAGCCTATAGTGAAGAACTTTCACATTTCTCAAAAACATCTTTTCTAGTATTTCCCTTCCCCCCCCTTCATTCCAGCAGAGTTCTGCTGGTTTAAGACCATATGTCTAATTAATTGCATTTTATTATCTAAGTATTGCTCAAGTTTCTGGATAGCAGCTCAAGACAATTCTGTATAAGTGTTTTAATAAAGACATTCTAAAAGAGAATTCTTGCATTAATTTCCTAAGAGAACAATGATTCCCCAAAGAGGAAGTTAGGGAGAAGCAACCTTCTTTGGTAAAAGAGAAAGCAAAACAGGACGACAGCATTAGAACCTCCCAAACACCCTGCATCTACTTCCTCCTATTTCTGCAACACCCAGCTTCTGACTTGCCTACACAGGATTCAGACACCATGTCGGAAGGATAAATTAGAAGCATGCAAATAAAAGGTAAGGAATAATAAATATACTCTAGCAAGCACTGTCATCTCTCTCCTCTAGACATGGTGTTTACCACTAGGAAAAACTGATCATATGTGTATGGATGGTCTTTCCTTCCTACTATTTCTGACCCTAAACTCCTGTTAGAACTTTATAAACTAATTTTAGGGGTTTTTTTCCCCATATTTTAGACGAGCAGTTCAGCTGAATTTTATCTATTGGATTTCCTGCTTGAACAAGATACATGTATTGAACAACTATAGGAGAAAAACTGCAGAACAGAACAGTTACAGTAAGTACATACATGTTTACTTCTAGGTTGGAATATTTTATGAAGACCTGATATAATTTCTTTTTCTTTTTTTGAGACATTGATTTTATGTATAAAATAATCTATAATCTACTAAAATTAACTCTTCCAAATCTGTTGTCTGCACATGAAAAGTGCTTGTTACGAGATTACAGTGAAATAATCCCAATGAATACGTCCTCATAGAAATTATGTTGCAGAAATAACATGATAGAGTTTTTCCATGCTAGAAAATGACATCTTTAAAGTATTTCAGCTGGCCAGAATCATTAACTAGCCAGTAACAGGAAATGTAGAAATATTGCATCAAATCTGGGAAATGAAAGTACCCCATTCTGGAGCTTTATCTCATTAGGGGGGTTCCAAACACTAAAACATGGAATAACTGTTTTAAGGACACAAATGTGTGTGCTTTTATGTTAGGAGTAAACTGTACCTCTATTAGAAAGTATAAGTTTGGTGGGAATTAAAATCGTACTTTTACATTGCTGGGTTGAACACTGTCTCTGAGCAGAAATGGTTTAGTTTCAGTTTCTTTTCTCAGATTTTAGACAACCTTGGGTGGAGTTACTGGTGAATATGATAGCTACTTCAGTCACAGAATAAAAACATTGAGTTTCTTTTCCCCTGCACCCTCAATTTTTGAAAATAAATTACGATAGTGACATTTTAAAGAACAAGAAACTAGTTTTTCTTTTTCTGTGAGCAAAAGGGAGTCTGTTAAGAGAAAGTGCAACTGCAGGCTTCCGTAGCCCACAGCTCCACTTTTCTGTCTGCTCTCACAGTTTATTAGTTAAATCGGGAGCAGCTTGGCCAAAGGTAGGACAGCTGTTTTCCCGCACTAGCTATAAGAAATCTTTACTATTGCTTCTCATTAAAGTTTACGGTTTAGGAAATCAAATAATAGATTGAGGAAAGCATGTTGCTAGCGTGGCTTAGATAACTAAGTGTTCTTTCAGAAAACAAAATTTCACTGAAAATTTCCAAGAATTCATTTTGTCTCAGGAACACTAAACTATGAATAAGAAAAGGTGGATGTAGGAGGACATTACAACAACTGTAGCTGGATGCTATTCCATAAAGTAAAACTTTCAGATGAATGAATATAATTCTCCCAAAGGAAGAGAGAGGATAAAGTAAAATTAGACACTATAAAGGGGAATTATTTTATTTTATCATGTTTCTTTCTTTAAAGTTTTTTTCAAAAAGTCCACATTTACTAAAAACAAGTGGATTGAAAGATGCTCTTCTTCCCATCACTTATTTCCACAAATGCTGCTGAACTACTTGCTTTTGTTTAATTTGAGAAACTTTAATGAACACAAAAGGTACTGAAAAGGTAGTATGGAAAATATTTTCCTTTCATTTGCAACAACAGCAGCTAAGTAATCACAGCAGTATCTTTCCACCCCAATGTCTTGTTGCAGTGTTATTCAGACAAGTTCTGTACCTAACCACATCTAAGGGTAAAAAAAAAGATTGGATTTCTGTGTGTGGTTGATTTTTCTTCTTCACCAAACTGGGAACTTAATGAGATCCATTTGTGACTTGTACACAACATGATGGCTGAACAATTGGCTGAAGGGTTGGACTCAAAGCATTGTAGTAAATGGAGTAACATCTGGCTGGTGGCCAGTTACTAGTGGTGTTCTCCAGGGGTCAATTTTAGGGCCAGTTCTCTTTAATGTTTTTATCAGTGACCTGGACACAGGAAGTTGAGTGCACACTAAGCACAACTTAATTAAATTAAGCGTAGCCATTGATTGAGAGGCCTTACAGAGAGATCTTTGATAGAGAGCTGGGCAGTCACCGACTATATGAAATTTAACAAGGACAATGCCGAATTCTGTACCTGGGACAGTGTAATCCTGGATGTATGTACAGATTGGAGGGCAAGAGGCTGGAATGCAGCCCTGCAGAATGGGATCTGGAGGTTTTGATTGATGGTAAGCACAATAAGAATCAACACTGTGCCCTGGTGGCCAAAGGGCCAACAGTATCCTGGGGTGCATTAGGCACAGTATAGAGACCCAGTCAAAAGAAGTGATTGTCCCACTATACTCAGCGTTGGTGTGGCCTCACCTCGAGCATTGTGTGCAGTTTTGGGCTCCACAATATAAGGATATAAAAATATTAGAATGTGTCCAAAGGAGGGAAACAAAGATTGTGAAAGGACAAGAGGGCATGACTTATGACAAGTGGCGGAGGATACTAGGTTAGTTCAGCTTACAAAAGAGGAGACTGAGACGTGGCCTCACTGCTGTCTACAAATTCCTCATGAAAGGGATCAGAAAGGGAAGTGCTGATCTCTTCTGTCTGGTGTCCACTGACAGGACACGAGGGAATGGCTTAAAGCTGCGTCAGCGTAAGTTCAGATTGGATATTAGGAAAAAATTCTTCACTGGGAGGGTGGTCAAACACTGGAACAAGCTCCCCACGGAAGTGGTCATGGCCCCAAGCCTGTTGGTGTTCAAGAAGTGTTTGGTCAATGCTCTTAGATATATGGTTTAACTTTTAGGTTTTCCTGTGTAGAGTCAGGAGTTGGACTCGATGGTCCTCGTGGGTTCCCCCCAACTCAGGATATTCTATGATTCTATGATTTTATGATTTTTTAATTATTAGATGGCCCATACATCCATGAATAGGTGTCCAAATGACCACAAATAGGTATCAGTCATGATTTTTGTGTAGTGACAGCTACAGAAGCTGTTTAAAAACAGGATTCAAATAAAATCATTCTGTAATAAATCTGTCTCTTATAAGTAACTAATGCCTTATGTATGATCTTCACATTCTTACGATGTCCCCTAATTGAACTGTTGTATTCCACATGGCAGATTACACTAATGAAGAAATTAATGGTTGATAATAGCAAGGAAATACATGTTATTCAGTTAATAGGCTACTATATATCACTTGTTTAGTAATTTTGTGATTTTTTTCATTAAAGAATGGAAAATGCAAACACTGAGAAAAATGAAAAATCACAGTCATATCAACATTTTGAACAGTGGACAAAAGAGGAAGTCAAACAATGGGCAACTGAAGTTGTTAAGATTGACCAGAAATATGCAGAAATCCTGTTTAATGAAGATGTGACTGGTTTTACTCTGAAACTGATAACTAAAACAGATTTTGTGGAAATGGGCATACCCCATGGACCTGCTCTTCAAATAATGCATTTCTTGAAAGAGCATGGCATTCTAGCTAAAGGTTCAAACCAGGCTGTGGGACAAGAAGGCACTGAACAGAGTCTTGATGGAGAAGATGGTGAAATTGCAAAGAAAGAATGCAAGAAGAAAGATGAGTCATTTAATTCCAGTATGCTGCAGGATTCTAACATGGAGCCCATCAAAGATGAAAAAGCAATGAAGTCAGCTGACAAAGAGAATGTATCAGAGAAGCCACCGTCAAGCAGCCAGCACCCAACTGGAGAGATGTGTATGCCACATCGTTTTGATAATTTCAGTGATGGCACTCGATACACACAGTATAATATTCTTAATGTCCCTGAAACAGGGCCACTCAATCTCATTGATCCAGCACATGAATTCAAATTACTTACCAACACAGAGAATTCACTAGAAAAGGATGTCATGATGAAATTTAGCACTGAAACCTTTAGATTTGCTGCAGCCTGCATGAACTCCCGCACAAATGGCACTATTCATTTTGGAGTACATGACAAGCCACATGGGAAAATTGAAGGAATAGAAGTTACCACGAAAGAAACGTATGTTGACCATTTGAATAAAATGATCGGAAAGTACTTTCATGAGCAATACATTGACATTGCAAAAGCTTGCATTAAAGGACCTAGATTTGTGGAAGTATTATTACCAAATGGAATGCAATCACATAAGTTTGTCATTGAAGTAGATGTGATTCCCAAACACTGCAAATGTAATGCAAAATATTTCTGTACCAAGACATATGAATATAAGACTAAAAGTTGGAAAAAAGCTGTCTTCATCCGGGATGGAGCTAGTTCCAGAAATATTTACAATACAGAAGAATTTGAAACTTTTAAAGGTACCTTGACATCTTTAGCAGATTCTCGTAAAACAGCAGAAGAAGAATATAACTTATCACAAAAGAAGCCAATGGATGAAGGACTAAAGCTAGTTAGTCTGCTCACAGGTAACAGGGGGTCGCTAGATAGCTCTTATTATGACTACTACATTTTGGTAACAAACAAGTGCCACCCAAGTCAAACTTTGCACTTAGACTTCTTACAGGAAATAAAATGGTTTGCTGTGCTTGACTTTGATTTTGAATCAGGTGTGTTCAAGACTTACCAAAAAAATCAAAATGCCAAATCTCATTTCCCAGATCATTATGAAAACAAGGTGGGTTCAGTTTCTGAACATGCTGAAAAACTGAAACTGCATCAGGAGACCAACTGGATTTTCTGCAATGGTGGATCAGACTTCAAAGGCAATACTGAACTACCATTAGATCCCACATCATGGCAACGAGACAGAGCTGCTGGTGTCAGAAAAATGATTTCATTTCTTTTGCACAAAGATGTAAAGCAGAATGGAAAGTTTTTAATAGTGTTTCTTTTGCTTTCCACAGTGGAACATTCAGTGGATCCCCTTACTGAGACTTTTATGACATTTTACCAAGAATTAAAGGGACTAGAATACATGGCCTGCATTTGCATTGGTGCACATTCATACCAGCAATGGAAAGATCTTCTGTGTGCTAGAGGCATTAGTGAGGAAGCATTTTCAAACAAATGTGTTTCTCATTTAACCCTGGAAACAGTAAATGGTACCATCATAAAAATAAAATCAGTGACACGGTCTTCTAAAAGATTTCTGCCTTCTGTTGGTCATTCTACCACTCTTCTACAGAAAGAAGACTCCATGGCAGCATTGGAAATACTTTGTGAAAACGAATGCAAAGACACAGAAATAGAGAAGGATGCAGAGAAATTTAAAAATTTCCTGAAAGAGCGGGAAGAAGATTTTTATCGAGGTGGTAAAGTATCATGGTGGAATTTCTATTTTTCTTCTGAAAATTATAGTTCAGATTTTATCAGAAGGGATGGTTATGAAAAGCTTGAACAGCTAATTGTGTCTTCTTCTAACAGTGCTAATCAATCACCTGTAAAAATTATCAACCTTTACCATCACCCAGGCTGTGGTGGGACAACATTAGCTATGCATATCCTTTGGGATCTCCGGAAGCAATTCAGATGTGCTGTTCTGAAAAACAAATCAAGTGATTTTGGAACACAGCTGACAACTTTGCTCACCTGTGGAGCAAACAATGACACAGGCTATTTACCAGTGTTACTTCTTGTGGATGATTTTGAAGACCAAGAAAATGTCTATTTTCTGCAGAAGGAAATTCAGGTGGCTATCACAGAAAAATGCATTCGGTATGTAAAACCTTTGGTGATCATTCTAAACTGTATGAGATCTCAGAATCCTGATGAAAGTGCAACAATCAATTCCTTGAACAGTGTTTCTTTAAAACATATGCTTTCCAAAAAAGAGCAAAGGGCCTTTGATCAGAAACTAAAATATATTGAAAAGGTGCATGCAAATCCTGACAATTTCTATTCATTTATGATTATGAAGGAAAACTTTGATCCGCAGTACATTAAAAAAGTGGTGAAAAATACCTTGCATAACTTGAATACTGCCTCTAAACCAGCACGACTTGTTTGCTATCTAACGCTGTTAAACTCGTATGTAAGAACATCTACTGTTTCAATATCACTATGTGAAGAATTCTTAGGAATTAATTCTCAAGAGATTGGCTGCAGTAAAGACAAATTGATAGAAAAGATGGGAATTTGTTCCAATATTCTAATATATTATCAGGTACAAGATTACGAGAGATACAAAGGTCTTCGTATCATTCATCCATTGATAGCATCTCACTGCCTGACAGAATTGAAACTAACCCATGACTTGCCTAAAAGTGAACTTACATTGCAGTTATTGAAAGAAGATTTATTTTATAAGACTTCGTTAAAGCACGACAAACTTACTCGTGATATACAAACCCTGCTGATTACCAGACAGCGCAAAGAACATGGCGATGAGTCAGACACATTGTTTTCCCCATTAATTGAAGCCATTCATAAGGAAGAGAAGCGTCATAACGTGGAAGATGTGTTAAAACAAGCATCTGCTAGATTTGTGCAAAATGGTTATATTTGCCAAGCCTTAGCAAGATACTTCTACATTAAAGAAAAGAACTTTGACTCTGCATTATACTGGGCCAGAGCAGCCCAAGAAAGAGCACAACACAATTCATACATATCAGATACAGTAGGTCAGGTCTTTAAAAATAAGCTAACATGCTATGCGGAGTCCAAAGCAAAGAGTGCAGTCCTGACAGCTGGGGACCTGAAATACTTGCTAGAGCTTGCTGAGAATGCTTCACGGGCTTTCAGAGAATCTCAGCGTCAAGCTGAAAATGCACACAATGAACAGTATTTGCATAATCAAAAGCCTAAAAGAAAGTTTAAAATGTACAATACTGCTGGTTATCGGGGAGAGATAGAAACTGGGCTTTATGTTATTGATGTCCTTTCACGTCTTCCTTTTTTCAGCAAAAAAGACTTCCAGTGTAAAAAAGAGATGGCAAAGTGTCTATGGGGAAGGAGTGTTCTGACTGTACATAACCCTGACACAGATAGTGAAATGTTCGAGGTTCTGGAACATTATTCCAGCTTTTTATGTACTTTGCAATCACGGTTAAAAAGGGCATTTGACTTTTTTGATGACTACTTTGTGTTTTTTAAAACACAGATCAATGAAAAAGAAATTGTAGACGCAAAATTGTATGAGAAGGTTCAAGAATGTTTTACCAGATACACAGAAATATTTTGTGATTTCAGTTTTGAGCAACTGAAAGGTAAACAGGTCTCAAAGTGGCCCATGTCTCAGCATATAGAAGCATACAGGGACACTCTGGAGGCTTCTAAAGGAGGCTCATTTTCTGGCATTTTGCAACGCCTCCACAGAAATAACAAAAATGCTGTCAGAGAAATAGAAGACATAGTAGAAGCATATACATTTTTGTGTGAGAAGAATGCACAAGCAACTCTGAAAGAGAAACAGAATTTCATTTTGGCACAGGTTGTTCTGAACTGCATTAAACCTAACTTAGCTAAGTCACCTTCTTCTAATGTGCTGGGAAGTCTGCTTCTAAGCATTCTACAGCAAGTGGAACCAACTTCACAGTGTGTAGAGCCTTTCTTCCTAGCCTCCTTGTTGTTCTGGCCCCAAAATACAAAAGAACTAAATAAATATTCCAGGAAAATGGAAACTTTTGTTAGACACTTAAGTGAGTCTTTCGAAGCGCTCTATGGAACCCTGAATTGTTCCAGGCAGCCTCAGGCTCTTTTCTATCTGGCAAAAGGCAGTGGCCTGGACAGATTTGTTCACAAAGGAAAAATAGATCAGCTTTTTAGTTCACTTCCAGAACAGGAACTGAATTACCTCTGGCAGAGTGAAAACATCTGGAAGGAACAGGCTGTTCAAGAGCTTTTGCTTCCTTTGGATGGAAGAGCTGAGGATAAGGTTATCTACATAGACTATGGCAGCAATGAAATGTTCAGGATACCAGTGCAGCCTGTTTCCTCATGCGTACTGAAAAATGGCCCAAACATAGAAAGAGTGTCTTTTTACCTTGGGTTTTCCATTGCTGGTCTCCTGGCATACAACACACAAATTCTGTCACGAAAACAATAGGTATGGCAGTTTCTTACCTACAAGGCTTTTTCAGGCAAAATGATCCTTTAACTGGTTTTTGGTTTGGTTAGTTTTCTGGTCAATGATTGCGAATGATAACCTCAGGCTGTCCATCATACTTCCTTCCTCACTATGTTAGCCTTGCAGTCCTATGCAGAATTGTCTCTCTTCTGTCAGAACTGCTGTTTGGACAGTCAACCTGAAATGTTGGTGCAGTTACTGCTGTAGCCTGGTCATTATTAGTCAAAGATCTTTGGTTATTGGCAACATGAGAAATCATTCAGGAAAACAAAATAGATAATTCTAAAAAAGAATATTTTGAAAATGTTATCTTTAAATGCCATCACTTTTAAGAACCTTCTTGCTAGCTTTTTTGCCGTGGCTTGTAATGAAGGATGTCTCGACATAATTTTCATGCTCTTATATAAGTAATGTGAGAACAAGGAATGTACATTAGAAAACATGTATCATGTAACATTTCCTGATGCCCCATTGTATCTGGTGTCATCTTGTCACAAGAGCAATGTAAAAGGCCATTCAGTTGCAAAGCAGCATTTTTTTCTCTGTTGTTATTGTACATGCATAATGAATAATGTAATGCATTGGTATATGGGCCTGTATTAATAGCCAAGCTGTATATCTTGTGGGAGGACAGAAGCACTGGGTTTTTACCTTCTCAGTGCGTTTCTAAACATATGATTATTAAAGATACACCTACTTTCTGCTGTACTGTGAAAGCATACAGCAGTTGGTATTTGATGTCCATATTAAACAGATTCTATTATTTTGTGGTGGATCTGCTTCTGCTTTATATAAAATCGATCCAGTTGGTCATTCCTTTCCTCATAAATTCCATTAGTTCCTTCCAGTGGCATATTTCTTACCAACTTTGATCCTTGCAAAAATAGGCAATTTAAATGCTTAAAGTGGTCATTGATTGCATTGCCTTCCTCATGAATAAAACTGCCTGCTATGTTTAGACACAATTAATGTTCAAAAAAATGAAAAGATATCGGTGCAAAGCACCAGAAACAAGAAGTTACTATTGTCTGGAGAGCGCAAAGTGTTGCTCTTTGCACTATGTACCTATGATTCATGAAAACCAGAGGAGTTCAATGCAATTACCTGCCTGAAAGAGGTCTGCAGGACAGCTCTTTCATCATCCCACAAGTTGTCTTTGCTCTTTGTGTCAGGCAAGGAGGCAGGCAAAAATAAGTGACATCTCAACAGACTAGTAAAAAGAAAAAGAATAAAGCAGTGGACCATTCTGCTCTATGATTCATTCTATGATTCTATGATTCTATGATTCTAGCGCAGCTCTTCTTTTAGTTGTAAATATGGGTAAGGAGTTTTATTATATAATCCACACTGCTTTTTAACTCTAGCCAAAATGTTTCTCTTGGCAAGAATGCACATTTCATTTTAACCTGTATCCACTTTGTTTCTAACAGCATACTTTTATTTCAGATAGGGTGCTATAGGATCAATTTTCATCATGTCTTTATTTGTTCTAGTTAGTCCTCAGGATATCGCCGTACAATTTATCAATGACAAAAGAATTTACCCTTACAAATAAAGATTTACATTAAGTAATTTGCCACGTCTCCACGGCAATTGAAGCCTTCAGTCTTCATTTCAGTCAGTCACATCTCCTAAGTACTGCAAGTATTTTTATGTGCTCAAACTCAGCTGAGCTGTGTAGGGTGGTGCACGGGGCACACCTGGCAGGGTGCAGGGGTGGGCAGCTGCGGGGTGCCTTATGGCAGGAGGCCATGAACCGCCCAGGGCTGGTTGCACCTGGTTCCAGCCAGCTCCGGCACCAGTGTGAGCACCCCATCACATGCCAAACCTCTGCCATTGAGGGCAGCCCACAACGATCAGACAAGTTTGCAGGAGAAATGGTGGAAGAGACATTGCTGGGGCATGGCCAGAGACACACTTCTGGAACGGGGCGACCTACATCACGCCTGGGATACTCCTGAGGGACTGCAGCCCATGGGTGACCTACACCAGGGCAGGCACACCCCTGAGGGACTGCAGCCCATGGGCAACCCATGCCGGGGCAGACGAAACAAGAAAGAAGGAGCAGCAGAGAAGCAGAAGAAAAGAATGGGAAGCAAGGAGCAGCAAAAATAAACAACTACACACTGACAAGGACTTCCTTCGCTGCAGGCCTGTCACCTTGGCAGGGGGATTGGGAAGGACTGAGCAGAGGTGAAAACAAGGGGGGTTGCAGCTAGGAAGGAGGAAGGAGAGGTGTTGGACTGAAGCTGAAAGGGAAGAAAGGCATTTCTCTAAGTGTTTGCTTAGTTGTTTGTCTTCTTGTTTTCTCAGTACCCCAATCGGTAATTAAACATTGACATTAACTAGCAATAAATTAAGCGAAACTCCCCAAGTTGAGACTGTTTTGCCCACAACATGTGTATGTTTACTAATAACCCTGGCACAGTGTATTACATGCTAGAGACGGCACTACATGCCTGTGTGAGTTTGCAGAAATACAGATTTTATTTGTATATATCAAGTTGTTTGTTATAAAATTGTATTTTTTTATCAGCAGTAGCTCATTAATAAATACAGGTATTTGATAACATCCTTAATTGTGCAGTGTGGAACTGTATTTGATGATACATATCACACACAAAGGCTGACAGAATTGCTTTTTATAAGTATTTCCTATTTTCCATTACTTTGTAAGACCTTTTTTTTAAAAACTAAGCTCTCCCATGCCAAATATCTGCCTCAGACCTATTTTGTGTTAATTAAAGCCAAAGACCTCAGTAGCTCCCAAGTGTGAGGTCAAGAAAAAATTGTGTTGTATTGCCTATGTTAAACAACTCTACCAGCTTTTTCCAGCATGCTCAAGAATTCTGTGGAGTGGTGTTTAAAAAAGGGTTTACTCTGATAGGAGAAAAAAGGTAGATGTGAGGGGACATTTGTCTGCACAAGCCTAATTTTATCAAGTTGCAAGGCCTGAAAACACTGACGTTTATACATGGGCATATGCAAACTTGGGTTTTAACAGCAGAATCTATACACAGATGACAGCCCTAGAAGTTGCAGGTGTGGGCTGTGATGGACCAAGTCAAAGCTAAGAGCTTAGCCCTCCGCTGTCAGTGCTGAGTCCAGAAACCTGGAGGAGACAGCCTGATATAACCTGGCTGTATGGGAGCCAAAGCCAGGTCTGCAGGAAGGGCCCAGAAAGCTGTTTGACTTTCACAAACAGTTTCAGTGCTATCTCAGCAGTTCCCTCTGCTGTGCTGATGGAGTAGCCAGGGCCCTGGCTGCGCCCAAGCAGCATTTGTGGACTGTGAACTTCTCTGTAGGAACACGAGCTGAGGAATCCTCCCCTGGAGGAGTGCAAGGCCTGCAAAAATCAGTTTAGGAACTGTTTAGGTTGAAGAGTACTGAAGATCTTCTCTGTCTGAAATGAGAGCTAGAAGTACAGAACATGGAGGGGGCTTCACGACTGGTGACAGAATGGAAAATTTCCACTAAGGAGATCTTAAGGGAAACAGACGGGAGCACAGCTGCTAAGATTTAGGATGAGAACAGCAGCAGGGTCTAGACTAGGCAAGAGGGAACAAGGACTGAGAAACAGATATCAGAAGGTGATGGGACAAGAGACACATAGGGTGCTCAAGGGAAAGAAGCTCAATGGAACAAAAAAAGCACACAAGGGGGAAGGGAAGGCAAGGGAAGAAGGGAAGGGAAGGGAAGGGAAGGGAAGGGAAGGGAAGGGAAGGGAAGGGAAGGGAAAAGGGAAGGGAAGGGAAAAGGGAAGGGAAGGGAAAAGGGAAGGGAAGGGGGAAGGGAAGGGAAGGGAAAAGGGAAGGGAAGGGAAAAGGGAAGGGAAGGGAAAAGGGAAGGGAAGGGAAAAGGGAAGGGAAGGACAAGGTCAGCTGCTGGCATGCAGACTAGTAATCATATCAGCTGACTGAGCAACAGAAAAGGTGTGCGCAGAGGTGTGCAACGTCCCTCAGCTTTATGTCTGAAGGGGATTGTACTTCCTGCAGGAATACTTCCTGGGGCAAAGACTCTCAAGATGGGCCGCCAGAGCAGGGACTGTAGGACTGTAAGACGGAACAAATAGAGATTGTCTAGAAAAGTGAACATGGAGGAGGACATGCTGCCTTCTACTAGATACAAGGCTACTGCAGAGAAGCTGACAAAAATGAAGGTAGTAAAATGTTCTCCAGGCCCAAGGTGTGCATGGAATGAGGGTAAAAAACATACCATAGGAAGGATTCAAGATATACCTCAGGGGGGAAAAAATGTATCAGTAAAAGTGATGTACTGGGATAGACTGGAACGTCATGGGAATCTGTCTTTGCAGATCTTGAAAAATGGAGTAGGCAAACATTTGAGATAGATTCAATAGTTGTAAGTCATCTGCTCTAGAATACTCAAGAGGATCTCTCAAGCTCTCTTTTAGACTTACTTTTCCATGATTGTTAGATAAGAAATGTCTGCTAGGATCAAACTCCCCTGCGTAGGACTGCCCTTCCTTAAATTCTACATGCATCTACCCAGTCTCCCATAAATTTTCTGTGGCTTTGAAGGCATCAGAGCAAAGGCCTGTGTACCCCAAAGCCTCCCCACTGCAAAGACACTCGGATTGCATCTGACCTTAAGGACACATAACAAAAAGTCCTGCTTCCTCACACATCCCTGAGGGGCCAAACTGATGCGGAGAGATGGGTTGCGGGAGCACAGAGAGATCAGTCACAGACTGCAGAATTAGCCAAATTCTGCACCACTTGTTTGTTTGATTACAGCTGAGACTATTCCTACAATGTGATTTTATCATGACAATCACCTTTTTGTTAAAAATTACCTTTCCCACCTGTCAGGTATTTTAATAGCTCAAATCTCAATAGCTCAAAAACTAAAAGCAGTCACAAACCAGACCCCAATAATCATGAGATTTCCATCTTGAATCATGACATTAAAAAAAAAAAAAAGTTTTTTTACTCTGCTTTTTGGCTTGAAACTATTCTGTCCTCTTTTGCTAATGTGTGTGATAGTTTCAGATTAAAAAGTCAGCTTACGCAAAAAAGTGTGCTTCTCTCTGCCCATATGAATGGAGATTCCACTTACTGTCTGCACACTCCTAAAAGAAGAGTAAAACAGCCTCCTCTCCTAAGAGAGAGTGCAAACTGTACATTTCCTATTACTGTATTAACTCCTTCCCTTTGTACTTTCCCACCCAATTTCTTTATTTACCTGCTGTAACAAGGCTACAGAATGCAAGTGGAAAAGAGCATCCAAGAACACAAAGCAACTTCTCAGCTGGTCACAGAACTTCCTAGACCATTGGATCCCGGACCCAAGGCAAAGACAAATTTAGCATGTATTCCTGGAGAAAGCATCCACAGAGGACATCTCCTGGATGCTCAATATCAGAGGGGATTCTAGCCACCTCTTCAAGAGAAAGATTACATTTATTTTGGCGGTTCTGTCTTCCGTGCAGTTCTGCCAACTCCTGCTGATGCCATAGTCCCATCCCTAGATATTCAAAGACAAAAATTAGGTAGCTTTGTTGCTACACTCCCCTCCTTTGCCTACACAAAGAATGTTTCTATCAAAATGAAAGATTGTCCTCTTCTCACCATATGCAATCTGTAAGTAATCCAGTGTCAAAGTATGTGGCAAGAGCATGTCTTTCCTCTTTGGAGGCCATTGTGATTACAGGCTGTGACGGTCTTGCCATCAGCACCTCTTTAACTTCAGCCATCCACTTTGAGATTTGAGCATGTCTCTGTAAGAGTATATGATATGGGTAAAAACTATGATTCAGCACTCTTTTTATTGATACTTCTTTATAACAAATATCTACTCAATAGGGAAAAAAACCTCTTTTAATAAATATGAGGTGGCCAGCCACATGCACCACACATGTGTTTTCTGGTAAGGCCTGAACTGAAATCTCATGCCTGTCATTTATTCCCCATGAGACATAAGGTAAGCAATTTTATGCCAATATTTCTATCTGTAAAATGGACCATATTAATAGGTGCTCATAGTAAAAATGTAAGAATAACTTAGTATTTGTCTGTTGAAATTTAACATGCTCCTGCTGCCTAGTCCTCCTCCTGCCTCCGTCTGGGGGAAGGAGCAGTATCTCTATTACTCACGCTTCACACTTTTATTTCAAACTGAAACTGTGTGGCCTGAGGCTTTCTACAGGACAAACGCGCTTCTGGTAACAAAGGGAACCTGGCAACAAAGGGAACCTGGTGGTTGGTGTCTACTACAGGCCGCCAGATCAAGGGGAGCCGACTGACGAAGCATTCTTCCTCCAGCTCCGGGAGGCTTCGCGCTCTCAGGCTCTTGTCCTGCTGGGGGACTTCAACCACCCCGACATCTGTTGGAAAACCAACACGGCAGGATGTAGGCAATCCAGCAGGTTTCTCGAATGCATTGAGGACAACTTCTTAAGCCAGGTAATAGACACCCCTACCCGAGGGGATGCGATACTGGACCTGGTGGTCACCAATGCAAGCGAGCTCGTCGGAGATGTCAAGATCGGAGCCAGCCTGGGCTGCAGTGACCACGCGCTGGTGGAGCTCACGCTCCTAAGGGAAATGACAAGAACAAAGAGTATAGTCAGGACCCTAAATTTTAGAAAAGCAAAGTTCCAGCTCCTCAAGGAGATAGTCAGAAGAACTCCCTGGGAAACGGTCCTCAGAGACAGGGGAGCAGAACAGAGCTGGCGGATCTTTAAGGATGTGATCCACAGAGCGCAAGAGCTCTCGATCCCTAGCTGTAAGAAATCAGGAAAAGAAGGGAAGAGACCGGCGTGGCTGAGACAAGAGATGCTGGTCGAACTAAGGAAGAAGAGGGAACTGCACAGGCAGTGGAAGCAGGGACAGGTATCCTGGGAAGAATATAGGGAAGCGGTCAGGTTGTGTAGGAATGGGGTCAGGAAGGCCAAGGCGCAGCTGGAACTGAACTTGGCTAGGGATGCGAAGAATAATAAGAAGGGTTTCTACAGGTATATCAGCCGGAAAAGGATGGTTAAAGAAAGTGTACCCCCACTGATGAGCAAGACTGGCAGGCTGGTAACAGCAGATGAGGAGAAGGCTGAGGTACTCAACGACTTTTTTGCCTCAGTCTTCACTGGCAACCTCTCTCCTCACCCCTCCCGAGTCGATGGATGGCATGAGGGGCACCGGGAGGGCAAAACCCCTCCTGCTGTAGGAGAAGACCAGGTTCGTGACCACCTGAGGAACCTGAATGCACACAAGTCCA